ATTATCATTTGCAACGAAAATCCTACAAAAATACAACAGTAAGGTATCATTGCTTGTTGGATAGGATTAGACAATGAAAGTAAAGGCCATAAAACATGGCACAATAATAAAATTACCATCAAACGAAATATTCAATTTCTCAAAGGTAAACCTCCTCAAATTGAAGGGGAGAAAATAGACAATACAAACAACAATACAAACAAGTGTTTAATAATTAAAAATAATGAAACAGATGATAGAATAATGAGAATGGACAACAATGATACAGACAATACTGATCCTAACAAAAAAGGAAAAGCAGCAGAACCAACAGACTTAACAGACAACAAAGTTAAATTAACCAAAAAAGAAGTAGAACCTAAATTATGTTGATTGGAATGGAAACAGAAACCAATAGAATGTACTATTGAGCTTGAACAATGTATGGAGAATAAACACATAACAAAACACATGTATACACTTAGCAAAAAGGATGAAGATAATATTGCCATTCATTTAACAGAATTTAATGCTAAAATAAGTGAAATACAATTGGATCTGACTTCATTTTATAAAGCAATCCAATGTCCAGATTGTGATTCATAGATTACAGCTATGAAAGACAAAATAAAACAATTAGAAAATCATAATATATGGGAAATCACAAATTCACACAATAATATTAACATTATTAGAACACAATTTGTCTATAAAATAAAGCAATACACTGATAATAGTATAGAAAAATATAAAGCACAATTAGTAGTTTAAGGAAACTATCAGATTGACAGTCTTGACTATCATACAGACAATTTATTTGCTCCTACTGCTAGACTATCTATGGTGTGATTAATATTAGTATGGGCAGCATCTAATAATTATGAAATACATCAGATAGATATAAAATCAGCATATCTGTATGAACAATTGATGGAAGACAAAGAAATATATGTTAAACCTCCTCCAGGTAACTTAATAGATGGATTACAGAATGGACAAATATTACAATTACAAAAAGTACTATACAGATTAAAACAAGCTGGTAGAAGATAGTATAAAACACTATCTAATATACTACTTAAATGTGGATTAATGAAATCTGAACATGATAATGCTGTATTCTTTGCAAAGAAGAAAGAAATAACTGTAGCCATATTATTTGTACATGTCAACAATATTACTATTGTAGTAATGAATAATAATACTATTGTAATGATAAAACAATCTATTGCACATCATTTACAATATACAGACAGTGGCAAATTACACTGGCTACTTGGTATAGAGATTCAACACAACAGAGAGCATAGATTCATCAGGATGCATCAGACACATTATATTAATAGTATAATAGAATGTTACAAACTTACAAACGAACAAAGTGTACAAACACTCATACAGCCTGGTACACAATTAAAAACAGTATCACAAACCAATAACAATAGAGAACAAATGTCTGATATACTATACATGAACATGGTTGGCACACTTAGATACATTGCAGACTGTACATGGCCAGATATAGTATTTGCAACAAATCAGTTAGCTAAATACCTTAATGACCCCAGTATGGAGCATTATCTGGCACTTAAACATTGTTACATGTACTTAAAAACTACAAACAATGTCTGGCTCCAACTCAGCAGCACAAATCAATCAATATTGAACAGCTATACAGACACAGACAGCATGATGCAAGAAGGGCATTGTGCAATATCAGGATATGCATTTTACTTGAGTAATTCATTAGTTTTGTGGTCAAGTAAAAGACAAACACTGGTGGCAAATTCGATGTATGAAGCTGAATTAATAGCTCTTGTAAGAGGAACACAGGAAGTGATCACACTTACTCATTTAGCTGAAGAGATTCTGCAGGTCTCTGATGCACCAATTAATATCTATTGTGATAACAATGCTGTTATACAAACGGTTACATCAGACGAACTCAAATATTCAGAACAAACAAAGCATTTAGATCATAAGAAAGATTTTATTAAATGCTACATTGAGTTAGAGTACATAAATGTGAAATACATACAGACAAACAATCAACAAGCAGATATATTAACTAAAGCACTACATGTACCACAAGTCAAACATCTTACCAGTTTACTCAGACTAGTAAGAGTTTGAAGGGGAGTATTATGAGATGATTAGTTCATCAACGGACAAACCATGAGACAATGACTTCATAATGTCTCAGTTAGAATACATACAATATAAGGACAAGAGACACTGAGCAGTCAATCGTCACCTCACCCCTTGTCTATCCGTGCCCCCCTTAAGTTTTCCCTTTCAACACAATGCCTATTATTTGACTAGACAACTGAGTTGTTTTGATGTTTGACAGTTTTGAATGACTCTACTCCAGAGTGCATTTTGCCTTGTCCTCACTATACACATTTTGCTCAACCTGTGTAAGATAGAGGCCACTAGATGATCTACTTACACCCCTTTTGAAAGCGTTTCAAAGAACGCAAATAGGAAAATTGGCTGTGCTTGTGAATAAGAATCTGTCGATCTGTGATCACACTTCATTCATGGGCTACTTCAGCGTCTACTGTCTTTATGCATAGCTATACTTACCCATTGCAAAGTCATCAAGTCAAAATTATAGGTGTAAATAGAGTATACTGCTATTAAAGATGTAGACTATATGCAGATAGCAAGTACATGGCCAGATATATCCACATGGGATTAAACAACAAGAACTATCTGATCAGAATGAACCTGCTTCTACATGCAGGAAAAAAATGGCAAGAATCATGGCGACTCGCATGTAGTTGGAACTGTGCCACAGTATTTTATTAGCCGATTCCAAGGGATGGAAAAATAGTTGCAAAAGTCACCCACCGAGTATGTCACTACGGGCGACCATCCGCCACACCAGAAACTTGTCCTGCCTGCAAGAAACCAGCACATATTGTACCCTTGGGGCATTTCTTGCACCATACTGCAAAGTTGCTGCCGTTCTTGTACTTCCGATGGTCCTCGGCGTTATTATGGCTGCAGGAGCTCCCTCCAGAATTACCCTGCAACTGAGTGTATGTGCACATGTTGTCGAAAATCGTAAGTTCGAGTTGGACGAAAGGTGACTATGATCAAGAGTACCCTTGAGATGCAGGATCGCTGAGGTGTCGACATCGACACCACCCAGGTTTTATGCGTTTGCGGTTTTACGGGAACAGCCATGTAAATGTAAAGATGAAACAACATGTTGCTCGAGACACGAACGAGAGCGAGCAAGAGTAAGCAATAATGAATACATTTGATAGGAAGAAAGAGGTTACCTCAGTAAAGAAGCGCCTGGCATTGGTCCAGTGAGTGCGTTGTCTGTAATTGCACTGACATTTTACTGCACGCGCAAATAATCTGTGTTGATCGTTGCGGGGAGTTTCATCGTTGCGGGGAGTTTCATTGAAGCGCACGCACGCGACCAACTCATCGATTGATCAATAATGCGCGTTAGAATCCTCGTATGGGACTTACTGATTGTAATGATTTTGACTGTTGCCAGCCGGCCGACACAAAGCTTTGTCGACTGCCGACTTGAAAAGCTGCATACTGGCACCGTATAAAGGCGTTGATAGGTACGAAATGATTGTGAGATTATGTGCGTCTTGTTTGTCGGAGTATTAGGTCTGGTCTCAGTAGATTATCTCGGAACAGAGGAATATACAAGCCTTGGGTAACACAGGATGCAGCGTCCGCCAAACCCGGAATCATTACTACAAGCTCACTGATCGGAAGACCGGAATTCTCGGAGTGAACGCATCGCGGATCCTTGTTGAATCACAGTAGCGATACACGGTACGAAGTGATTGCACGCCTCAAACTTGATATCGAATAGGTGACTAAGTTTGTCTTCGTGACCGCTGTGGTGTTCCCTGCCTAATGTGAAGAAACACATTTGATCTGATATTGTGGATTAAAGACGAATCGATGTCCGCACAGACAATTTCTTTGAGAAATGCCTGGCCTCCATCAATGGCTTTATGTCCGACTCGGTATGTTACACCGCATATCGATGGAACAGCCAACGCATCAGGCGCGGTAAGATCTACCTCTCGACATCATGCGCTCAAGAGACGTACCAAAACAAAGAGTTAAGAGCATTACATCGCAGAGTCAATAGGAAAAAAAGTGCGCATAATTACCGAATAGCCAAGAAACCGTCCTAAGCGCACAGTGCATAGCGAAGCCCATCCTGTCAATGACAGGCCATTGCTCGGCGTACCACAGTCGAAATTATCCGAGGCAGCTTTTGTCCATAATCCACAACTCACAATCCACATGATTCCTTTGCAAAATGGAAAAAAAGTCCGACATGGGCCAACAAATATGCCTAAATCCATGTATGTCTGTGAAATGCTGCGCAAGCCGAGCGCTAGGTCCGATATTCACGTAGCGCCAATTTAAATGTACTTGAGGAATAAAAGTGACAACAGAAAATGTAAAATAGCTCCACAGGAAGTAAGTCCACAAGTGCGCACGGAGTGTTAGAAGTCGCCAATGATGAGGCATTGAACGCGATAGCGCTTGATGGTGCGGGATGATACGTTTTACAGCAGCAATGGATTTCCGAGAGGATGCCTTACTTCCATGGTCATCGACATTAATATTAATCAGCGTGGTCACCGGAGGAATGGATGTGATTTTTGCAGGTAAGCTATTTGGTGGATCAGAAATCCTTCGTGCGATGCTTGATGTCCATTGTCCTGGCTGGCAAAACAAAGTGTCTTTCATCACGTGATCGCTAGTAATGCCACTTGCTTTGCTGAGTTACAACAATGCAAGTCACCTTCAGTCAACGAATGCCGTTGAGCCGATGCTACATGGAGCTGGTCAAGAAACTTACTTTGCTGGTCCCACTTCGTATTCGTACCTGGTGGGCGCAGAATTGTAGGCGAGCTGGATTTATAGTGTAAAGCAATTTTCGTAGTTGACGACGGAGGCAAGCCTTCATTCGCCTCTTCTGTTCTTGCCTCACACTCTTTTGTGAATTCCCTCTTTTCTACATGATGGCACTCAAATCCGTTGAAAGCAGCTCGGCATGGCACAAGATAAGCCAAATGCCTGAGCTTTTAAGTCTAATTTTCATATTCTCTCTACCAATGCACAACATGATGCCCAGCGAGCATGCCGCACCCATGTTACTCACAGTGAGTACCTTGCCTGTGATATTGATGCAGAGAAATGTTAAGGATTCTTTGTCACGAAACAGCGGATCTGTCGGCATTGGCGTAGCCTTGCTCTGTCTACTCCTCAGTTGTGGTCTCGCTTACGCCTTAAGATTCCACTCGACCAAAATGACGAAGCCGAAACACTCAGAACACTACAAAAATTCTCTAGGATATTGCAGACATATCTCTCAAGATCAGGGAAGGTAGGAATCTCATTGGACATTGACCTCAGCCCACTTTATGAGGGCCAGGCTGCAGTAGGAGTCGAACACCGAGAACTTGTCAGTCCGCTCATATCCAGCATCCTCCCGTACTCTCACCAGTGGCGCCATCTTTCCATCACAGCTCCCCTGCAATATTTGACTCCAATTATGGATCTTGTTTCCAGCGGAAGTGCGCCGAACGTGGAATCACTCACGCTCGACTTTTCCTGTGATTCCATATTCCCTGACTTTGGAATGAATGAAAGCGAACTGCTACCCTTCTCCGTTATGCTCAATGCCGCACCTGCTAACTGCTTAAAATCGTTAACAATATACGGGAATGCAGATGTTCGAGTTATTCTATGCTGCGATCTTGGGAACTTGTCCAAGTCCTTATCCCATGTCATGTTTTGGAACGTCCATCTGGAAGTTAATGCAAACCATGAAACACAACTTCAACCAGCTACCTCTCCGATGAATTCATTGCGGAGATTATTCCTTGCTGCATTGATCACGTCAAATGATCTTATACAGACTCTGCGAGCCTCTCCAGAGCTTGTAGAGCTTACGTTGGACGTGGAACTTCGGGCTGACGACTTAGCTAACGGATTTGATCATATGGTTGAGTTGGTGCATCTTCGAAAGCTGCGCATCAATGTCGGGGAGTCGACGAGCAAGATACTTGGCAAGCTACAGCTTCCTTCTCTTGCCTTCCTGGAGTTCACTACTGATGAAGGCCCAGAGGTTAGAGGGGTACTGCCAGAAGTCACTAGTCTCCTGCAGCGGTCGAATCCGCCACTCATTTTTTGTATGATTTGCGATGGATACGGTAATGTCCGAGAAGAAGAGCTTATTGAATTCTTGTGGAACGCGAAACAATTGGAAGAGCTTCGTGTTATAAAGAAGGGTCTTAGCAATCGCGTGCTGAAGGCTTTGACGGTGAAGGACATATCGAGTGTCTCAGGTGTCGAAGCAGAGCCTGGCGGCAGCTCATCGGTGACCGACGCCAAAGAGCCTGATGGTAATGCAAACCTGGGTGAATGTCGACTCTGCCCGCGTCTATTCAGTGTAACATTTACGGCAGGCAATGAGTTTTCACCACAAGCTATTATTGACCTCATCGTTTCGCGGTGCCCCGCCAGAATGTACAGATCAGAAGAGCTGCAACCTCTGCTGTCGTCCGATGACTTTTCATCGGCCTCTCCTTGTATTCGTTCAAATAGTCAAGTGCAAGGAAGCTCAAATGGCGTGGAGTTTGGCTCACCTGTTTCGGTCAGTCCTGCCCAAGAAATACGTACTCTGAAAATGTTTCAAGCGGTAGTAGAGCATAGTAATGTTGTCACGGAGAACGACACTGTTCGGCAATGCATTGACGAAGGATTGAAGTTGCACTTGCGAGATCCAAGCAGTTTTATTCCAGTATTCATCTAGGCCCCGGTACTTTGTACCCCCCTACTTGGGATCTGTTACGAATAATGGATGTACCAATTGCCGGCTTATTCTCTTGAATAGGCGCCCGTTTTCTAAATTACAATGGCTTCGCTGTTCTTTCCGATCAAGAAAAAAGAGTACAACACGGCGTGCCTTCTTCCATACTTTTTGTTCGTGTGATTCCACAGACATTCCTATTAGCCCAGTGTCAGAGATATCTCCTTTTTGTGAAGCTCTGTCGAGGGCCTGGTTTATCCTATTGGATATCAGAAAAGCTATGCCGACTTCCCTTGTCTCTGTGATTGTAAACTTGTGTATCATGCGATCCGCTTGCGATGGCAACAATCAAGATGCCGGACACGACTAACGATATTTTAGTTCCTTCGGGCGACACGTCCACAAGACGGCAATTTGAAAAACTACGGCTGTGCAAAAGAAGGTTTGGCTCGACTTTGGTGCCTTGCTATGTCGTATGCAGGTTCAGCTCATCGGGCGTGGAGCTGCAGTTCAATTGGTAACTGCACAACAAGGAATCAACCATCTGATAGCTCGCGTTCCCTTCTGTTTCAGATGTCATTGACTATGCACATCCTTACGATTTCTTCTGTTTCTAGACCTTGAGCGCGCAGAGTATCTATGTAGTGTGTAACAATCGATCTCTTAATTCTTGGTGAAAAGAGCGCTTGATTCCGGTGTCTCGGATTATATGAGATTGCTGCCTGCCTATATTATTCCGATAGATTCCGAATAGGGGGAATACGATATCTGGCGCTTAGTTCTTAGACGCTGGTCGAGTCTTGCTAATCCCCGTGCTTCGGTGTATAAAAGTTTAATAATGTACGGATGAACAATGCTTACCGGACATGGTTGCTGTGACTGCACACTAGGCCCAGAGGTGGAATCCCCGACGGCGTTACTCATTACGCCGGATTACTGAGCCGAGAAATCTTCGTACTTTCTTGGGTTACCAAAGTCTTCGGCGAAGGTAAATTTCGTTCCTATCGTCCCGGAAGTTGACTTTCTTGCTTGGATCTGGCTGAGACAAGAAAGGGCATCCATAAATTTTCGCGATTTAGTCTCAATATGCAATTACAACGAATAGCTTACTGGCTTATCATCAGCTTGCAAAGCTCAACGCTGTGTATTCGCAGTGTTCCGTGACACCATGTGTGTGCATGCCGTGTATTTGACGCCAAATGGAACATCTGCGTTCTGGGCGAAACAGAGTCTGCTCTTCCACGCCGTCTCTTTTGCATGATTTCGTTCAACCACCTTCACGGCGTAGAATGCAACGAGTCGAGGGAGAGTCTCAATGCCGAATACTGTCTGCAGACTCGAGCAAGGCGAACATTGCAGCCACGCGGGTATAAAGGCTGTAGGCTGCTAGGCTAACATCCAAAAACAGTTCGAACAGACTCCAGAGAAATCCGAGCCTTCACCTACGCAATCTATCCAGAAATCGAAGCCATGGTATGCAAATTTGTCCAGGCACAAGGCGAAAACCCCAGTGCGACCTGCTCCTGTTCTGACGATAAACACTATCGGTTTAAAACCGAGGGGGGAAACACCTACTTTGTCTGGTGCTCTGCATGCAGTACCAAGCCACTTTGTGCAGGGACTCTGTCCCACGGCGTCGTCAAAGACCTGAAGGAAAAGGCCAGGAAGTAAGCCACTTTTCACTCACTAAGGCAACTTGCGATTGACAGAACAATTTCACATACAGATAGGCGCTCGAAGCCTACACACATAGAGCTGGACGTTTCCAGATAACTAGATGGAGATAAGCTTATCATTCGACATGTGTAGACAGGATAATTTCCATATGTGCAGGAGGTAGTTCTTTACTGTACTTGAGGCTCAGATTTGTAATTGCCTTGCAATATATATTTTCATAAGGGATTCTTGCAACTAAGCTAGACAATGTGACGTGTTTTTGATGAGGCAAGTGGGCCATGGAAGATCCTAGAAAATATTATTGTACATCAATACATCAAAGGCTTAATGCTAACGTACATGGAGAGCTCTAATTACCTTGCTTCTAGTAGACTAGTACTAGTATGAGTGGTCCTTCCAGTTTTGGCTCTGATGGTGAACAGTGCTGAAGAGCACAAGTAAATATATCAACAGTAAATATGAAAACTGATCTTTGATATTAATGTACGTACCAGCAGGCGGAGCGCGTTGTTTCTATATATATGGGAAACGTTGGCTTATATACATATTACGAAATAGTACATGCCACGTGATGCGTGGCAGTCCCTTTGAAGATGCTCAAGAGTCAACATTCACGAAGTGCAATTAGCGCAGCAAACGCATCTCGTCATGCAGCCTTCGTGATCCATCTAGCATCACTTTCAGCGACTTTCAGTGATCCAACTTTCAGGGTACAGCTGAGCGGATTGTTGGGACGCGTCAAGATCATCATTTGCCTGCTCGGCCGTCAGGTTACGGACTCAGGTAGCTTAATACCAGTTGATGTAGTTTAGTGTGTTGGTCCTTAATAATCTGTAAACTCTTATGCTAATAGACTATTCAGGGCATATCATTTTGGCAGGCTTGATTGTTAGTTCTTGAAGGCTCGCTATGGATCGCTTTGCTACGCTGGAACCCGTGAAGCTGTATGCGACGGCTGCGACATCTACTTTCCTTGGACGAGGTGGTCAAAAGCCGCCTGTGGTGCAGAACTTCGTTGGAAGACTACCGACAGACTTGTATATATCAATCCTTATATACCTGGCTATTCCGGACGTATCTGCATTCAGCAGGACATGCCGAAGACTTGCAGAATTCTCTCGCGACGAGCGCGTCTGGGAGACGAAATGGAATATGCTGGGTATGGAAGAAAATAATCTCGACTTAAACAAAACACTTGACGAACTCGAATCTCGTGCGAGCGGGAAAGGCGTAACCAGTCAGATGGTTCCACCTCCTGGTCCCGTGTCCTCAGGGGTTTCAAGCGGCGGCGATGATGACTTTGGTGAATTTACGTCGAGCTCGGGAAGTACATCCCAGGATCTGTTTGGTGCCTTTCAGGAAATGTCCCTTTCATCCCACCCCGCTGCCTTATCAGGAACCTCTAAGCCTACGTTCAAGCAGAAATTTATTCGGGCGCATAAGATTCTCAAACCTCTCCTCCCGAACCTTTCCTCACCACCACATCTTGTTCTTACGAGCTTATTTCCTCCACCTTCTCCTCCTCTCCTCCACCAATCACAAACTTTGCATCTTCTTGCGCTCTACCTTTCACCGTCAGTACGGCCGGTGCATAATCATGAAGTACTCTACACGTCTCTTCGTTCTGCAATAGATCGTTTCCAGGCTACCCTGTTGACTGCATTTGATGTTGCGGAGGGAAAGAAAGATGAAGAATCTATGCGAGAAGCAGCACGAGCTAGTTGGGATGTTTGGGAAGGACACCTTAGTGGCAAGGATATACCTGTGTCAGAGTGGGAAATGGGTCGTGTTTGGGCAGAGAAGCGCGAGATCTTTTACGAACAGGAAGATTGGAACCCGTTGGATAATTTCATGTGCGCTTTCATTTGCACATCATATACAATTCAGTTAAAACTGACTGCTTCCATTAGCGAGGACACTCTTGATTTCACCGCGATGGATTCTTTCATTGACCATATTCTTGAAGCAATTCGCACCGATGGGGCGATTGCTGTCAATATCTTTCCAGGTGCATCGTGCGTTGTGCTAGGTTATGCAGATAAGGTTGCTCAGGAAGTTGTGCGTATATTTCTGGCTCCCGTCCTCTCCAAATCTAAAATAGCAATAGGTTAGTGAATATATCACACCACTTCTCACCAAAGCGCGGGACGTCTCAAATGAGGTATATCTCAGAGCGGCTGCAGCTGCTTTCAAGGAAGCGTGGCGTATAGTAGACGTTCTACTACAGTTGAGAAAGGACGATACATACGTGACATCTACACGGGCCGAGGATGTTGTGTAAGAACATATATTCGAGACTTAGGCAAGAGAGTTAATACTCCTTATAGGTACCGGACGTTCGAACCAAATATGGATGAATATCTTGATGAAGAAGTGGAAACCCTTAAGCAAGTGTTCGATGCCATCAATCGTGATTGGGAGCGAAAGGTTCATTCTCCACCCTCCTCAGAACTGCATCCGCTAATTGTTAATACTAGATCTCGGCACATACAGTATCAGGTAACTCGAGCACGCCGACCACAGCGCGCTTTTTAGGCTCGCATAATCCTGCCCAGATGAAGCGCACAGTCCTTGCTTCGTTTACGGATGTGCTCTTACTTCCGGTAACGATAGTACCCCGTACGGTTGGTGCTGTCGGCGCAGTTCTTACCACAGGAGGTTCGGCAGCTGTTCAAGGGATCTCGATGCTAAATCCACAACGTTGGGCTACGCAAAGCTCTGGGAACCCCGGAGGTGAATATTCGAGAAACCTTGGAGGTGAAAATGGCGAGATGGTATTTGAACTTGGTGACGATGAAGATGACGAGGAGCAAGAAAAGGAAATAGTCTCAGTTGACAGATGTGAGTTTCTTGACATACCCGTACATCGACTACTTATCGTACATAAACGTTAGCGTCAATATCGTCTTTCTCGCAGGCGACTCGCGATGTATCCGCCGTGTCATCTGCTCCAACATCTTTGCGTTCCGCATCACCGGCTCCATCCACTGCAACAGGCAAGAACGGTGTCGCAACGAACGGATCGGCCCGTGGAAGTGTTGCGTCCTTCGACAAAATGGACTTGCACCTCTCACTCGATGTAGCGCTCGAGCTCATTCATGCGGATCGAGAATCACTAAAGCGATTAGAGACATTTGCTGGATATCCCGGCACATGTGGGCATCGCGTTCACGACACTATCGAAGAGGTATTCATCCTCCTATTGCAAGCGATGGGAGAACGACATGTTAGTCCGGGGTTCGAGAGGGCTACAGAGCAGATGAGGACGTACAAGCCTGCAGAACATGAGGAAACGACGAGTGTAGCTCCATTGATGCAGTTCTTTGAACTTGTACACATTGGGGATACTATACAGAGCATGGTTCAGGTGTTCTTCGATAAGGAACTGGTGCGTAATTCTTTCCATTTGGGATTTCGGGCGTTGTGTTTATGTGTCGTCCAGGCTATTCACATCGACAAAACGGATTTCTTGAATGCAGTCGTTAGAGAAAAGAAGCGCTTCGAGAATATTTTGGACGACTCCGTCGCGGCAGGGATGAACGCAGGCACAGATGTACTCATGAACCAGGTAAGGCAATCGCATTATCTCTTTCCTTCTTCGCTGGATCCACGATTTATGACTTTAGGTCGAACACATCATCATCACGCTCACCAAAGCACGCGAGTACTATCCAGTCGACGAGAGTGCGCTCGAGCTCGGGCCAACACAGGGCTGCAGAGAGGCCATTGCCTGTCTCGACATGCATTGTAAGCTGCTACGTGGGAGTACGAGCAAAGAGGTACTTGAGGTGTTTTACCAGGAGGTTGGAATCCGGTTGCTCGCGTGAGTCCCTTTATCTTCATCATTCTCTCTTTTGAGTTAGCACTGATGGTCTGGACAGAATCCTACATCGACATATAAAGCGCCAAATCATATCCCTGGCAGGAGGATTCCAAGTTATAGCGGACCTTAATGCTTACCATAGCTTCATTCAATCTCTTAAGGTCAGCATTGACAGACTTCCTCTTATCTTTTTGTGTATCTGTTCTGACATGTGAAATAATGCAGGTGCCGAGCATCACCGCGGACTTTTCTAATTTAAAGATGCTGGGACACGTGTATGTAGTTGAAGATGCGAAGGATCTTGCGCAGATCGTCAGGGACGTGACACGGTATGGCGGAGCGTATCGACCTGAGGTATGCATTTTCTCATTCCCAAATCAAATAATCCCACTATCCGCTAACATTGCCTTCCCGCGCAAATTAGGACATCTACGAGTTCATTCAAAGACGAGCGGATTGGAAGAAAATCGAGAAAACAGTAGATAAAACGATGTATAATTTGAGTTTTCGAGAGGACTGTACTATTTGCTAGCGGTTTATATTTCTTGTCGTATTGTTTTTTCCAGTGGACCAATATTACGAACTTAATGAGATTTGTGCAAGGAAATTGGAACACCGTTAAAAAGGATTAATCATCATATCGGACTTCCCAAGTCGTGGACGCAGGCACCTTCTCCGCATCCTCTTCTCCAATCGTATTTCCCAACACCTGCTCCAATACAGCTAAGCTCTTCTTCCCAGCGCCCGGGTTCGAAACCTGTACGTCTTTTAAAGCTTGTACGATGTCCCTTATTGCAGATACGGCCCATCTCTGCTCTACGAGCCCGGAATACGTCACGCCGCTTGTACGTTTCCGGAACACCGCAGGGTCATCCATGCCCCTAGTCCACGTCCATTGGCGTGGTATATCGGGGTTCTCAATGCCGCCGAGACCACGTGGAGCAGCTTTGTGTTTCTCTATGAGAGCGGAGACGTATTCTGGAGACGGAAGTGTACGTAGTTCGGATGGAAGGTTAGGTGAAGAAAAGAGAGTAGCGAGTGCATTAGACGTTGAAAGGAGGCCGCGCGTGCTTGTCGGGTCGTAGTGGGCCGGCTTCGACGAAGTATCAGACTTGGGCTGATTCTCAGACGTAGGGTCAGAGGTGTCTGTCTCTCCTTGCTTCGAGGCATGTGTAGAAGCCTCCAGCGCAGCAGTAAATTTCACATTCCTTGCACAAGCTTGCGCAAGCAATGCACAGCAAACCACATCTTCCATCGGTTTTCGCAACCCATGACTCGGTAGAAGCGCAGCGAACGTAACGGCATTCTTCAATGCCTCTGCATTCGCCCTTGCTTTTCCTTCTGCGTTTGTTGAGGAGGATTGTTGGGCAATCGGATGGGGCCTGTAGAAGATTAGTCGGCGCAGGATTCGTCGTGCGTCCGTCATGTTGGGGAGTGTTAGCCCGTATTTTTGTCTGTCGGAGAGGATGGTGACGAGGGTAGGCGGTGACCATGCAAGGCATCGGTCTGGAGGGAAAACGTCAATCAGCCCTCAAACCAGAAAAATCAGGAAAAAGTAAGGATTGATAGAAAAACATACCAATTAGTTCCCTAGTAGTCTTTAAATCAATAGCTTTTCCACTACTCCGCCATTTCGCCAAAATCTCAACAACTTGCTCTAAATGTTCCTTCCCCTGCGCGTGGTGCAACAATCTCCGTATCCCGCTGTGACGCGCCTGAGGGTGCTTTTCGGTGGGGTTTGGACCCAGTCTCGCGGAAATGTACGCGTATTGCTCGGCGAACTGCTCAAACGGAGACTTCACAGATGTTTTCCTTGCCTTTTTCTGTACATGCGGCCTGCTGAACGCAGAAACAGGTTGCTCCTGTGAAATGGGCTGTTGAGAGCCAAGAGACGACGAAAATAAACTATCTTCATCCGAAGGGGCCTTAAACAGCTCGTCATCGTCGAGCGCTCCCTGGCTCGACGCAGTGCCTGCACGTTTCTTCAGTGCTGAAAGAGAAAGCAACACGCTTGAGGACTAGGTCAGTCTGTACATTGTTGCAAGACATACCAGGGACGGATCGCACGAAGTTGCGACGTGAAAAATGAGTTACAACGCGAGCGAGACGAGGAGGACGAGCTAAGATGGACGTCATGTCAAGACAAGAATTTGGAGACAGGACGTATTGAGAGGAGGAAAGTCGTGAATAGCATGTGTAAGAGAAGTAAGAACTCTTTGGCTATTTTCTAGTTGCCAAAACAAGCATTGGTTCTATAGTGTAGCGGTTATCACACAGGATTCTGATTTCCTTGTTGCTTGTATCAGAAATTCCTGTAACCCCGGTTCGATTCCGGGTAGGACCTCTGAACAAAAGAAACTGTATTTTTTTTTTCTTTTCTCTTTCTCCATCTATCCACGCCTCGTCAGAAACGCTTGTCCTGTTCACTCAATGTTGGCAAGAAAGATCGCATGGTCTGTATACAATCTGTACTACACAGTAACGCTAGTCTACATATGAATTCACTACACCCGTCCATCTTAATCAGTCGAGTCCTCCACCTCCACACGTCTTGGACGGCGCCTCCTTTCTCCGCCTTTCTCCCTGTCTGTTTCCCTGTCCCGCACTTCTTTTTTCCTTCCTTCCTTTTCCGGTGGAGGTGCTTCCGTTTCCCGTCCTCCCCGTTCTCGCCTTTCTCCCTTGTCCCGTCGCTCACGCCTCCTTTCTCTCTTGGGTGGCTCCGGCTCGGGCTCTGGTTCAGGCTCCGGCTCAGACTCTGGCTCAGGCTCCGGTTCGGGTGCCGCTTCGGACTGCTTCTCCTCCTCGTTTTCCACAGGAACAGTAGATGGCATCTCACCAGAGTCTATGTCCGATGGCGGTGGCGACGGCTCAGGCTCCTCAAGCTTAAGCCCCTCAAGGAAACCTTTGTACTTCTCCGCCATGTGCCTGTCGTATTTGCCGCGCTGCCTCTGTGCATCTCGCAGTTCTGTCTCCAACTGCGACAATTCCTCCTGGATTGTCGCCACCTTCTGAGTAGCCTCGTTCAGCGACTCCATCGCTTCCTTTATCCCTCCGCTTGCGGTCTCCAGCTCTTTCTTCTTCGCGGCTAGCTCGTCCTCCTTCGCAAACTGGTCTATCTTTGCCTTATCCCGCTTGAAACTGAACCATGCATTGGACAATCTTATGACATCTGGAAGTGTTAGATTCTCTGTGTCTATGCCCTTCTTGTAGTCGCCATTCTCTTGCAACGCTGTCTCCCATTCGGTCCGCATCTTCTTGGTACACAGACGAGAGCTGAGAATTTCGGTCTGGATGTCCTCCGCGAGGTGCTTCTTCCAGTAGCGGACTTGACCTTTCATCTTGTCCTGCATCTCTTGGTCGAAGATATCTTTGACCATAATACCCGGTCCTGGAAGGACGTAGATACGAAGCAGTTAGGAATACTTGCCCTACTGTAGTGAGTGTGTGGCACTCACCCTGGACGGGTGCCTCTGCTTCTGATGTGGCATCCGACGCTCCACTACCTTTGGACATCTTGCTATCACTTATCTTCTTGTTTTCAGTTCGGATTTCCCCTCAGTCGCCTGGTCGGACCTGCAATCAATGCAGGAGAGGTTCGAATGGCACGGAAAATGCAAACCAGGGAAAAGGAATTCCTCACACCCGTCTGGTGCCACTGCAACCTCTTAATATACTCCGTGGCGAGCTGAAATGGACTTTGCCTAACAGTACGGCATCCCCAAGTAGCTCATCTAGTGGTACGATATACTCACTCGCCACCTTACTTTGCTGCTTCATTACTCAATAAAGTTACTTCTCTGCATGCCATGTCTCCCTTTGGTCGTGTTCTTGTAAAATTTAGGAATTTGCTGCAATTATTATCTGGATCACCGAAGCTCGGACACGGAGATATGGAAACTCGAAAGGAGAATATTAAAGCTTAATCTTTCTCTTCCGGATTGGATGGACTATTATAACAATCCTCTGCAGATCTCTCGCGCGCGGAGTTCTGAATCAATAAAAGAGCTCTTTGAGGACGCCACAAGATTAATCTATTATCGAATGTGTAGGATAGGTGTTTTGTTTATTTTGACCGTCCTCGACGTTCCACGAGACGTAATGTGCGCAAAAGATCGTCAGGTCGCACAGTTACATGTTCAGAGCCTCGCTACACATTTTTACGAACCTACAACTGCATTTGCAAATTGTATAGCTAGCTTGATATGCTCACAATGTACAAGGCCAATTTTTACCGATCGGATGTTGTATCCAGTGTCACAAATCGTGCACGTATATACATGAGTACACAGATCATGCGTCACCAGCAGAGCTCGCCATGTCAGAATCACTATCACCGGCCGCATCTTCACTACTCCCTGGTTGACCTGTTTGATCATCTTTCCTGCTTCCATCGTCCCGATTAGCCTCATCAGTGGATACGTTTTCCGTCGTCGCAGACGTGAACATAGATGATAAAGAAGGCTCTCCCGTATTTGTACCACTGCCTCCGGAGGCCTGCATGCGCTTCCACTTATGTGCCATCTCGAGGAACTTGAACGATGCTGGGTTGGCCTCGCGCTCATCATCAGGGAATACCATGTCCCAATCTACACGGCCGGTAAAAAGAGATTTTAGTTTTAAATAAAAATCGTGGTGAGGAAGGTGCGAGGTAATTTGACGTACATTCCTCCATTGTATCCCCAAGCTCGTCGACCTTGCGCCGTTTCCGGCTAACGATCGGCATCATAGCCTGGACTTTGTCGCTGTCAGCCTGGGTACCGTGCGTCTGTTCGAATTCCTTCCAGCCCTCGAGTAAGACAACGCGCTAATAACGTGTTCAATGCAACGCATCCCAGTTTCTAGGAATAAAAAATGACGTACCTCTTCTTTGAGATCCCTACTCTTCAAATCCTTATATGCTCTCTCAAACACCTGACGCGCAAGTTGCACATCGCCCTCCACGAACTTCTCTTCTTCTTCCTCTTCCTCTTCCTCTTCCTCACGCATCGCCTGGCTCATCGGGATCGGTGCAGCCTCAAACTCTGCATACGCGCGCCACACCTTCACATGGCCACTTATCTGTACCAGCCGTTCATACAGCGCTCTCGTCTTCTCCCTCTCTCCCTGTTCGAACTCAAAGTCGATGTACGCTTTCCACAAATTCTCAGGGTAGGACAACGGGACCTGCGAAACGCCCAACTCGTATATCGCCCGTACACGCGCATAATCTGCTAACACAGCCTCAAACTGTGCAAATTGGATCCAAGCAGAAGAGTTTGTAGGATCGAATTCGATGTATTTTTCGTATAGCTGTCGGACGCGATCAAATTCTCGTAGCTATTATCATATTAGTATCCTCCTTTCGTTGGGACGGAGGCTCGGGACAACGTACGTCAAGTTCAAGCTGAATGTACCCCTTAAAGAGCTTCTCCTTTGGACACATCCCGATAGCTGCCCCAAGTAGTTTCCTCGCCGCTGGCAGGTCAAGTCTCCGGACTTCGAATTTCGCGAACATCAGCCACAGCTTCGCAAATGTGAATTGTTTATGGGGAACAACTTGTAGCGCTGTTCGGTATATTTGTCGGGTTCGATCATAGTCCTGATGAAATAAAACATTAGAGTATTGTCAAAAAAGTGAATAATATTCCTACAAACCTTTGTCTCGATTTCTTCAAACAGCGCGTAGTCCAACCATAGGAAGATATATCGCCGCCAATGACGTTTGAGGTTTCCTGGTGGTACTTGAGCGACAGCACGTTCATACACCTCGCGTACACGATTCACCGCCGCTTCCAGCTCCTCATCAGAAGAGCCGTCCTCACGAAGTGATCGCAGTGCGCCTTCTTCGAGACGTGCGTAATCAAACCAGATGTCATAATTCCGTCCATCATGCGATAACTCTTCTTCATATTGAATACGTCGCTTTCCTACAACAGTCGTCTCAAGCGTCGAACGCGTCCCATGTTGCTTCTCAAACTTCGTATATGCAGCGTATAATGCAGCACTCTTACTCCTCGGCAATCGGTCCAAGGCGAACTTGTAAATCACCCTTGCACGATCATACTCCTTCAACCGTGTCTCCATTTTCGCGAACGCGTTGAATACAGCCTGAGCTTTTTCGATCTGCTCTGCGTCGTCTCCGAAAAACTCAAGTGCCATTTGAAATACTTCGCGTGCCTTATCGAGTTTCATTCGTTCTTCCTCAAATTTCGCCCATTTGACCCACACGCGGGGCTCAGGTCGAACAGCGACCCATCGTTCGTAAATCGCACTGGCACGGTCAAGCTCTTGGTATCGTTCCTCCATCTTGATATACGCCTGCCATGCTTTATCATCCGGTTCCCATGCCATCCATCGTTCAAACACTTGCCGTGCGCCGGCGACATTGCCCAGCAGTTCTTCAAGGTACACATACTTGTACCAAACCTGATCAATGCGTGGAAGCAAAGTCACAGCTCGGTCAAACAAGTTTCGCGCATGCTGCACATTTCTTCCTTTCAACTCCATCTCCGTGTATGACAGCCACAGTGCGACACTTCGAGAATCGACATCAAGGGCACGCTCGAACACGGAACGCGCACGGTCATATTCTCCTTGACTCGCCTCCCAGTTGGCATATGCTTTCCACTCCTTTCTATTTGGGTGTTAGTAGGTCTCATTAATATAGTACATTATAACCACGTACAAATTACCCCGTGTACGCTGAATGCGATCCTCAAATTCCTTTCTCTTACGACCTCTATATTCGTGCAATTCCTCGAAGTCTTCAATTCTCTGCTTCGGTGCCCGAAACGCGGTCTCCTGCCGCTCCTGGGCTTCACGCAGAAGTTGCTCCGCGGTAATCTAAGAACGAGTTATAAGTTGGCTTGCCGACATGGATACAATATTTGAAGCGTACTTGAATAGCCGCTGGCGCGCGGTTTTTTACACTGTTGAATCCGAGTTAGTCCATTAAAGTAGTTCGTGTCGAAGCATATACGTACCGAGGAGCCCTACCGTCCTGCATCTTGACGTATTCAAATGGAAAGGAGCTGAAAGTCAGCAGCGAGGGATGGACGAAGGAGAGAAGCCAGAAGGCATTCAAGTTCCTGGCGAACGACAATCTGCTTGACCAGTCACGTGCTGCCTTTATCAGCGCAGACAACTGCTGAGAAACTCTATAAAATAAAATCATTTCATCTTGCAGGGTTGTACTCAATTTTGGAGTTGAAGTTACACAAAGTCAAGTCCAACAAAGCTATATTAGGAATAAATTTCTGGTTGAATACAAGAATTAGCTAGATTGTGTGCAATGTAGCCATTGTGGAAGAGTAGTCGTTACCCCAATTAATGGAAGGATACGAAGTTTATACAAGCTTTCGAAAATTTTCTAGGCCAAACTAGTATGGGATCTGTACTATAGAGGGCTAGTTCTCATTGAACGAAGCGCAAGGCGCCCTTGAAACAAAGTAGAAGTAAAAATGAAGATCATGTCGGTAACTGTATTTGTGAACTCACTGTGCACCGCTTTGAACGCTTGGTATATCTTTTGATTCATCCACGAGCTGCTGGATTTTGTCAACGATATCCGTGGTGGTCGTCAAGTCTTTCAGCAGCATCTCCCTGTTTAGCAGTTTGTTTGTACGCCAGGCCTTGGAACACTTCGAAAACATACCGGTCGCCAGATTCGATCCTACAGATGATATCTTTCAGAGTCGTCATTGGATAACTTGTATGGGTTTCACTTGAGTCGATGCTGAAAATGCTAGCCAATGACGAATCATGTGAACCATCGTCGTCTGACGGATCGTCATCCCTGACAAGCATATAAGTATTGCAAAGAACGACGAGACATAAACCAACCCGGTATCTGCACATTGACATGCCTCATACATTGCTTTTAATTTCCTAACCGCATCCTCCACACTACCGGGTACAAAATGTGATGGTGATGTTGACACTATGATTGCCTTGCCAATCTCCTTACTAGCAACAAGGCCAGCATCCACAAGTAGCTCGGTGAGATTAAGACGTACGAGATCCAGCCCTTGCCCAATTTTCATGAGGTCTTGCTTGACCCTCAAAGGACGTAGCACACTGGCTCGATGGAGGTCGTTAAGCCCGACTTGTGCAACGTCCTGTGTCGCCTGCACTATGTTTGCGACCTCTCTCAGGTTGTCATAGAAACTAGAATAATTGGTCTTGAGGCGATCAGTGCTCGCTAGAAGGTGTCCATAGTCGGTTTGAAGGCCGTCATAACGAGTAACGACAGTCCATGCTAGAGCTTGATAGAACCGAGAGTCCTTGTTCGCAGCTTGTACATCATCCTTTATCTTCTCATAGTCAATAGTAAGCTTCCATCGTGCATTCGTTTTGTCGTGTAGATCGTGCTTAAGTTTCTTAACCATTTGACGAGCTTCGACGGAAAGATCCATCAGATTCAAGTAACGAGCACGAAGAGCCAGATGAGCAGACAGCAAAATCGAGAATCGATGTTGTTGTATGGACGTTCCAGCAGATAACAACCTGATCCGATTTACAGCAAGTAACGCATACTGAAAGAACCCAAGCACTAGACCGAATGTAAGTCGCAAGCGCTTGTTATGCCTTGACAAATCGGCGCGTTCTTCCTCAAGAGCTTTAGAAAGTGAACACACTTGCAACGCGAGGCTATTAGTAAGAGAACGAGCTCTAAGATGATTCCTCATGAGCGATTGCTTCTTATTTCGGAGCTCCTCCGCATCAGCCTTCAGCAGAGAATAACTAACGCGAAGCTTATCGAACTCGAACTTGAGCTCTGTGTTACGACGTTGTTCCACTTCGATCTGACGTTTCAGAGACCTTGTTTGGAACTTGTCGAATGCAAAGTGCTGGACCTAATTAACAGTCAACAGTGTCAGAGAGAAGCAATGCAGACCGCTGACCTGGAGCACTCGTTTGACCGACGACCACTTGAAAGGACCCCGAGGAATGGCATATAACAAAGAAAGGACAGAAGAGGCGGCCAATAGTATCAAAAAGTACTGTAACATGTGCTCCTTGGCATTAGACATACGAATCTAAAGATATCATACACGCGAGTGGCATGGATATTGAAAAATTGTAGGATGAAATAGTGACCTACCCATTGTAAGACGACAATTATGTTCTGCAAACCGATGAGGAAAACAGTGTTGAGGAGATCTTTGGTCATTTTAAGCTGTACGACTTGCTGCAGAAGAGGATGTTGAAGGGCTCAAGAGATTCTGAGGAAGAACCTCTGCGTTAACTGCGTCTTCGAAACTCTGCCCAAAAACATCCACGTGCTAATAAACTGCGTCATGTGACTCGTGAATTTTGAAGCCCAAGCCTCGAGGCTCAAACGAGAAATTACATCGGTTCCAACTTCCCTAATCAAAAGAATTGAAGTCGTGGGACTCAAGCAACTTGTCTTAGATGACTACAGAAAAAGAAAATGCGCACACAGAGGTTTCTTATCATCGCATCGTCTATTCGTCTTCAATAGCGAAATCAAGTCCACGCCTTGGACGAACCATCTTCAGAAAGTCGAATGGCACCGAAATTCGGGTTGATTCTCCAGGCCTCATCATCTCAACTTCTCGTGGCATCATACCTCACCTCACGCAAGATCATGTAGCGCAGATGAATGCGATCAAATGGGTACACGTGCCTTTCGAAACATTGTAAGTGGCCTCTGCTTCCTAGTTTTAAAATATATCGTTGAATACGAGCCTGATGTGTAGCAAATAGTTTAGAACGTGATCCGCCTTTACCGACAATTGTTAAAGGAGAGAAGCCGCTGCAAACGTTAATTGGCTTGCAAGATGACCGACATGTTTTGTCAATGTCACTTCGAGATCCGCACGATGCGCGAGAAATGCCTCCTAACGGAAATAAGTTTGCCAATGCCAACTGTATTAGAGGTGTCCGGAAGGTGTTGTGTTGACTATTTGATCGCTTTAGTACATGTCCTTACTGCAATTTAGATGCGCCCGGAACAATATAGATTTCTCATACAAAGTTGCAACCCCGATCTCGTTATCGCACTTTCCGATATCCCATTCACCCCTCCTCCCTTCTCCCAGAGACGCATCACAAAGAGTCTCGAGAGGTCGACCTCATGGCTCGCGTCTCTTCTTTATCCAACCCCTGGTGTAATGGCTAATCGGCAACATCCATCAAATATATTCGTGCATATGGTCGGAGACGTCAACGACTCTGCAAGACGTGCATTCGCCAGCTCCCTCAAGGAAACACTGTATGGAAAAGAAGCGGAACAAATAAAAACATTCAAATGCTTGGACGATGCTGTTCTGGGATATGTCTTTGACCTCGTACCTCTACGAACTTCGTTACTCGCTTCCGGTAAGCCGGCGGTAGACGAAGACCGCCCAGTTCCCATTCTGATTCGGCAGACAAATGACTTCAAGCCCTTGACGGAGCCACGCTCGGAGGAGATTGTCCCGCGGGTAGAAGATCTACTGCATTCGTCGCTTGACCCGCTATCGCCGGAGAAGCCGCGACTTGTCACTGGTACTTCGTCGCCCCATGAAGTACTTTATCTCATCCGAGATGTTGGCATCGATTTATTCGACGCTGCATGGGCTCAAAAGGCAGCCGACTGGGGTGTTGCTCTAGATTTCGTTTTCCCTGTTCCTAAAGAAAGGAACATGGGAGGCGGGACCGTACGCGAGGACGGCAAGCGCGACCTCGGGCATAACCTCTATTCCGCTCAATACGCGGTGGACTTCAGTCGACTTTCAGATTGCTTTGTTGACGGTGCTTCCCAGACGGACAATGCGATACATACTTGCTCATGTATTGCTTGCTCGCCGACTCCTCCACCATCACAGCTTGTTCATGCATCCGTAGATGTCCTTATGCGTGATCCTCTTGGTAATGGTGAAGGACAACAAACCGTACAGTACGACCCGCCAATTTCTCGTGCATATATTCACCATCTTCTGCATACGCACGAAATGTCCGCACACGCCCTACTCGCAGCGCATAACCTCGCGATAACCGACGCCTTCTTCAAGGCGATACGCATTATGCTCGCAAGAGGCTCCTCCCATGCGCATGACACGCATGTACACACCCACAGCACGCATAATCTTGGCTTGCATCATGAAGCAGAAATAGTTGTTGTCCTAGACTCAGAGGCAAACTTCGCAATGTTTGAGGAAGAGGTCGAACGATTTTGTGCCACCTATGATGGAGCTCTACGCATCTTCGGTGAAGCCAAACGCGACTGGATTGCCGTCGACCATGCACGAGGCAAAGGGCGACTTGCACGCGAGAAAGCTAAACAAGGGGAAGAGAATCTCGGAACGAAGCCGGAAATCATAGCCGAGACGGACGAGGCTGGAAACTAACAGGTAGACATTGATCTTTATTAAGTACTTTGACAAAGTTGCTCAAAGATGTAGAGTTTGATTTCCCTCTTCAATTCGTGATCCAATAATAGTTGGTGCAGACCCAGCCTTCTTTCCTATTTGACTTGATCTTAATACGTCACGTGGGATACCCGTTTTTTTTTTGTGCGAACGCGCTCGTATAACCATCCACAGAAACAACCTTGTCGATAGTTTAATCCATCGTCTTCGAGGCTTCGTCGGTCTTCGATGCGTGATCGCGCTTTCCCACGCTTCTGAAGGACTTTTGTCCGAGACATATACTTAGCTAAATATAAACAGCCTTCTAAAGCACCATCACTCATCCCCCTCCTAAAGGCTTCCTTATGGCTCTCCACAGCTTAAGCCTCGTTGCTCTCGTCACTTTTGCTTCCATTCTCGTTTTCAAGGGCTTAACATGGATAATTCATCGCGCAACTTCCCCTCTGCACAATCTTCCTGGTCCACCTGGCAAAAGCTTCATATTTGGAAATGTCCTTGAAATGCGCAGTGCAGGTGCGATCGCGCGTGGCCAACAGTTGTCTGAAAAGTATGGAAAGGTCATAAAATGCAAGGGTCTCCTTGGAGTAAGTTCACTAACGACTCTAGCTTTTGTTGTTTATTTGATCTCTACTTTGTTGCACTAATGCTCCATTTTGACACGACTGCTAGGAATCTCAGCTGCTCACAACCGATACGAGAGCTTTGAATCATATCTTAACCCATTCAATGGACTATTACAAACCATCACAGTCCCGGTACTTCTTGTCAAGACTATTAGGAAATGGTAGGGAAGATAAACCTATTTCATTCAAAGCTTTGCTTACATGTACCACAGGTATTCTTGTAATGGAAGGTATTTCGCTCCATGGTAAAAGATACCTTAATATCCAGTTCTAATTGCATCGTTTCAGGGGAGAAACACAGGCAACAAGTTCGTAGCCCTGCCCTTGACATGCACAGTGTCGAATTCTGACTTGACATGAATATAGAGACGAATCATGGTATATATGTGTGCATTCCCAGAATGTTGTGCTTTCATTAACGATTATTTGTATCAAGAACCCTGCCTTCTCTCCCGCGCCGATCAAAGATCTCGTACCACTCTTTTTCCAAAAGGCTCTTGAGGTACTTTGGCTCAAAATTACTCAGCTGACTTTACTTATGATGTCTTACGTAGCTACGCGATATCTGGCTATCTCAAATCGCGGCGAAAGGTATCGAAGGCTCACTGAAAATTGAGGTACTTTCATGGGTGAGCCGTGCAACACTCGATATCATTGGACTTGCAGGTGAAAAAAATCTGCTCTGCCGTTCGTATACTTGCATTATACTGATTGGAGACCTTTGTAAGGCTTCCATTATCGGTTCGACTCGCTGAACGAACGTCAAGAACCGGATGCGCTGAATAAGGCGTTTGAAGTCCTTTTGCGTGGAGACGACGATTCAAGATTCCTCCGTATTTTGCAAGCGTCCATACCAATCATTCGGTCCATTGTACGACCGTCCTTTGCCCTCTTATTGCTGCTCAACTGCCGTCATAACCAAAAATAACCTCATTTTACTAGCCGAATAGACGGGTTACTCAGGTCCGCGAGGCTCACAACACGATGCATTGGATTGGCGAAAGACTACTCAAAGATCGTCAAGCGGGCGGTACTCTTGAGAAAGGAAGAGATTTGCTCAGTGTCCTCCTTCGCGCAAACATGGATACAGAGCTTCCGGATTCCCAAAGAATGACCGATGAGGATGTTCTTGCCCGTACGCAAATTCTATTTACTTTAAAAGCAAACGATTGAAATCGCATGCATTTACGTGCCTCAGAGGTTCCGACTTTCCTAGTAGCAGGCCACGAAACGACCAGCAACGCACTCGCATTTGCACTCTTCTCTGTTGCTCAGCGTCCCGACTTGCAATCTCGACTTCGGAGCGAAGTACGTGGCATTCCCACGGACTCGCCATCCGCGGACGACCTCAGTTCCGAAAAACTGCCATTCCTCGAGGCTGTCGTACGCGAAACTCTCCGTGTGCATGCTACCGTGTCGAGTATCGTCCGTGTGGCGATGAAGGACGACGTCATACCCTTTTCAGAACCTTTTGCTGATCTGAAGGGACGTGTATGTAAAGAAATACGGTATGCTGCTTTGTATTAAATCATATTTTCATGTGATGTTCTGTTAATGCATCCTTGAATAACAGGATCCGGAAGGGTGACCGTATCGTCCTTCCCGTCCTTGCCCTCAACCGAGATAAGTCTATCTGGGGAGAAGACGCGGATGAATTCAAGTGAGAAATCGATTTAATATCTTCCTACCTTCCCATCTCCAGAATTTTCTTATCCTGACGAAAACATTCTTTGCGCATTTACAATTGCAAAGTCCGGACCGCTGGACGAACCCACCCCAAGCAGCTCGGAACGTTCCAGGTGTATGGGGCGATCTCTTAACCTTCGGTGGAGGTTCACACAGTTGTATTGGATATCGTTTTGCAGTTTATGAGTACGTCCTTATTCCCTTCGAGTATGGACCTGTGACGGCTTTATCTGATCTGACATGGACATGTCGTAGGATGAAAGCCATCTTATACACACTCATCCGCAGATTCGAGTTTTCTCTTGCTGTACCGGCTGAGTCTATCGAGCTCCGCTCGCTAGCAATCACACGACCGTTCGTGCATGGGGAGAAGGGAGCGCAGATGCCGTTAATGGTCAAAGTTTGTGATAGTTGAGGATTCATTTTCTATATATTCAATAGTATTGAATCATTGTGCTGTCTGCTTTATGTATTTCCTTTGTGTGACACGTTCATGTGCGAGGATTGCGATATGTACTCGTCTTAGTGCCTAGTTGAAACGCGTTGAATCTAATTTCAGTAGACCTTCAAACACAACTCTGAAGAAATTTCATGTATTGTATATGTATACGTGACCCGTATAATATGCGAATCAACAGAAGACAAAGCAGATTGAACAAATATATTTGGCTATGGTTTTCAAACAATAAGGACGTAGATGTTCACTTTGCACTTCATGCCTCGCAGAGTCTCACAATCAACGGCATACGAGCACCCGTCTTCTCTTCCCCACGTATATAAGGTCTGGTAACGACTAACGAGCGTTTCGTAATCTTCTCCGCAGGTATCGCAAGTTCAAACTCAAATGAACGGAGGAGAGTGAAGAGGAGTGCTTTCATTCTACGTAAATGCAGCCAGATCAGAACTTCAGTCGGCGAGCGGTGTAAAGGTGTAAAACGTACTCGTATAAAGCGAAGCGATAACCTATGCAGCTTCGCGCACCGCCGAGGAAGGACATAAGGTCACCCCATACACCAGGGATTTCACGAGCCGCTGATGGTTCGTTCGCCCATCGGTCTGGACTATTTCATTTTATTACCATCAGTACACGCAGGAGGAGAGACGACGGAAAACTTACTTGAACTCCCAAGCATCTTCACCCCAAATCTCCTTAAACCGATTAATGGCCAGGATCGGTATGAAAACACCTTCACCCTTCCGAATTTTGATACCGTCGCACAATTTCCCATTTTTGTCCAGATATGGCTCTGCGACAGGGATGACGTCGTCTTTCATGGCAACTCGAATTGTACTAGGTACTGCAGCATGTAGGCGTAACGTCTCGCGCACGACAGCATCAAGGAATGGAAGTCGTTCAGCACCGAGATCATCGTATGAGGGCGTATCAGTTGGGATACCGCGGAGTTCGGCTCGGAGACGGGACTGGATGTCGGGACGTTGAGCCAGTGCGAAGAGAGCCCACATTGTTTCTGTACTGCCAAACCAGAATAATCTGAGTTTCATGATCAAGCTTAAGGATTAGGTATTATTACCTCGTGGTCTCATGTCCTGCAACCAAGAACGTCGGAACCTCTGTAATACAGCTATCAATCTCCGCTGCGAACCGCTAGCACGTTGAAAGCTTAGACTCACGCGCAACGACATCCTCATCCGTCATCCTCTGCGACTCAGGGAGCTCTGTATCCAGATTCGCTCGTACAAGGGCACTCAACAAGTCTGCACCTCTCCCCTGACCCTGCTCCTTTTCTTCATCCGCATTATTGTCCAAGCCTGCCTTCCTCTCGCGCAATAAATCTTTGCCAATCTGTCGCATCGTCTTTTGTGCCCACTGTTCCTCTTTTACTCTCTTTGTTCTCTATTACACATACATTAGCACAAATGATCATGCTTTTGAAAAGAAAAAATATGTTTGGCTTACGATGAGACGGAAAATGGGGAAATAGCCTTGTAGCAGATTGAGGATGCGGAAAGCGCCGTCAGCATGGAAAAGAGCTGCGAAAGCTTTGTTGAGTTCTGTCGGTTCTTTATGGACGTTAAGTGCGTCAAAGCGATAGTCAAACCCTACAGAGACAATTATAATATGCTCAAACACTCATGGATGACGAAACAAACCTGCAAGACCGATGACATCCAAAGTAGTTCTGCTTAGCCACGATAACACTTCGATCTCCTTGCCAGCATTTGTCTTGGAGTTCTGATCGATGCCTTGAGACAAGATCTCGTTTTTCCAAATATCCCGGAGCTAATAAAGAATAATAAATAAAGGTTCTCTTCTACTTTAAAGAAGAAGGGCATACTTGAAGCGCCTTCTTGAAGTATATTGGTGTCAGGTTTTTTATTGAAGAAGGACCGAAAGAAGGGTTCTAATGAGAATTGAGCAAAGCGGAACGGATCGAGACAAGTAGATGCACACCATTATTCGTCGCTGTGACCCATTGTAAATGATAAGATAAGACAAAATCAACAATTCTGAAAGTTATACGGACCTGCTGCCGATGCTTGTCGGCTGTAAACAGAACGACACGTTTATATACGATTAAACATAAAGTACGGAAAGGACACACCCTCGGTAACCAGAATACCTTCCGAAGGAAGTGAGTGAGCCAATTCGGATTTGCCTTCAAAAAAGTTAGCAACGCACCATCACCCAGTAAACGTGCTAAATTGTATCGCGCCTGAGGAGGCTTCTGATAATCCACCGAATGAGTCAGGATGTGGTTGATTGCACGCATATCCATTGTAAACAGCCGGTCCTCCTATGATTGCCAATTCAGAATACATGTTCAAAAGCTCAATAGCAGCGAAGAAATACCCCGAAGAACGCCTTGTACTTCATGACCTTCCCATACTCCTTCGCCCACTTTTCGTGTATCTCTGACGTATCCGCCTTTCGAATCTCCGATAGGTTCCCATAAATCAGACTTGAACCTGGTGGGCCGGGTAAATTCCGAAGGGGAGACGACAGAGGTCTGAGTAACCAGCGTACAATCCTCGCGAGGCTGTAGACGGCGAACGTCGAAAGAGCGGCGAGCGAGAGTTTGAACAGTACCATGGTGAGATTGCGGTAGAAGAGACAAAGTTACGTAGGTGTCTCGCTACTCAAGGCCGATTGAGATACTTGTAGGATAGGAGAGCGGAGAATGATGCGACGTGCCCGCGCGTGCCCTGTCGGCATTCGTCAGAAGTCAGGGGAGGATTACACACATAAATCACAGAGGGCACAATGATCTAGTTCTCACTGCGGACTTTCCTACGCTACTAATACTATGTTTTACGCCGTTGCCATTACGCACGTAGTGTCTTATTTTAGAACACATTGCTTACATCATAACGTATTCTTACATAATCTGGGTCAGATATTTACACAATCTACTATCTAGCAGTAGCAATTAGCAAAGCCGCAAGACATATATTATATGAACATATTATACCTAGTCCGTTTTCTGAAATCCACTCGTCACTCAACAAGAAATGCCAATACACAAAATTAGGAGCCTCGAGTTGGGTCGAATTTCCAACTCAGTTTGCTCATGAAAGTTCAGCTTCAACGGCACGAGCAACCTGCGCTCCCTCTTCTCCATGAACCCTGACACATCACATTGTTACAATAAATTTATTTATCATTAAGGGTCGACATCATGGCGGTCTTTCGTCCGTTGCCTCTATCCCCGCATATATATCTCTAACTAACTAACTTTGAAAGCTTCCGACGCTCGGTGCCGATATGTAGCTCATTACCGATATGCTATGCACAATTTATAGCAACTTTTTAAACAAACATAAAATGACCATAACCGACGCCTCCGATGAGTGTACGTCGTGACAAGACAATAAGACGACAAGAGACGAAGTCAAACCCTGAGTTATATATTCAAAATTATATTACATAATCTTCCTCATTCGACGTCACTCCCCTCCGGAGTCCACTACAAACTTCGCTCGTGTATGGAGCACACTCGTCAAATTATTCGTAAATAATGGCCAGCAATGTCGTCGCCTTGGCAGGACCATCCAGAGCCGCGTTAATCGCTTCTAGCTCATCAAGTCGGCTGATGCATCCTCTTTCTTCATCCGATTTCCCTTCATCCTCATCCCGACGTTTCTTCTCCGCTAGCACGCGAAGCCTGGATCCTGCAGATAGGAAAGACAAATCACACTACCAGACTCTTGGAATTTCTCCAAGCGCATCGCGCATGGAGGTCAAGGCTGCCTACTTTCGACTGAGCAAGCGTTACCATCCAGATGTACGAAAAGCTGCGGAGGGAGATGAAAGTGCCGAAGCTAAAGCAACGGAGAGGTTTCATGAGGTTAGCAGTGCATATAAAGTATTGAGCGATGATAGACAAAGGTGCGTATGATTGGCTTCCATGTGTTTCGGTGAATGAGAACTTGACATTCCTTCCGAATTTTAGACGAGCATATGATCGAACTTTATCTTCATCGCCGTCTAGCTCAATACTCCGTCATGGCTCGCACACCCCAGGTTCATCATATTCTCACGCATATACGTACGAGATGCATGCACATCGTCGACGCGGTGCAACTCACGCTTGGGAGGGTGGACCTCGTGGGTACACTGGACGAACACACCCGCAATACACTCATCCGCAATACTCACATGCACACGGGTCTCATGCCACTGGTACAAGTTCGGGAAGGCCCTATGACCCTACTTCACCCTTTCAATCCTCTACCGCTTCATCATCTACCCAGTCATCTTCTCCTAGCGGGACATCTGCGTCGAGACGTGATGATCGCCTGACGGGCCGACAGGCTCGCGTAGAGGAGGAACGCGCAGAGCACGATCGCATAATACGCGAGTCAAATTTAAGTCGATTCCTTCGAGCTGTTGGGATTGTCCTCGTTGTTTCGTGGGTTGGTGGTTTAGGGAGATCACTGGGTGGATAGGCATAGGTGGCCATGAAAGTTGGGCATTATTGAGTTGAAATTTGATCTTCCAAAAGATTGCAAATAGACTGGCATGACAGAAGTCCGTCGTGCTCTGACCCGTGAATTGCGAGCATATTGTTACCTATGGGAGCTGTCAGAGACTTGAAGGAAGGGATTGATGCTCTCATCAAATTTGGCCGACTATTCAAATCAATACAACAAATACAACAACTACGACCACTTGCAATTCAATCCGTCACAGGAAACAAAGAGTCAGTCAAGCATTCTCTGCCTTAGTCCTCCTTCCCAAAGCGCGCGCAGATACTCAACACTCGTTGCTAACTACACTCGATGTTTCTTTGCAGCTTGTGTTGTGTACAACGGTCATTGAACGACTGAAGGTGTTGAGGATCCTGCGAGAGATGAACTCCCAACACGTACCTGCATTTCAAGGAATGCAGGTTAGAATGTATCACGTGAATATACCTTTGAACTCACATCTAGGCCAATGGATGCAAATTCAATCTCTAAGCTAATCCTATGCTCTGGTGCCACCAAACGAGAAACCTCAAAGGGACATCAATTTACTAATCAAATTAAAATTGACGGTTGGGGCCAGACCTACCTTGTTGGAGGTATTTGTTGGCTCAACGGTTTCGATGGAGTGAGTAGGAAGATTGTCCAGGTATATGTTTGTGTATTCTCCTTTTGCTCCTGGCAGGTTACGGATTTTAGAACGTGCATTCATCCTGTCGTTGATGGTCAGAGCACAGCATAAACCCGAGGAAACTTAGTTAACCAACGAAGCAAGCAAGCAATTTAAGTATACTGTTGACTATCGTCAGCCGCACCAATTCCGGGGTATTTATATATGCTGCTCACATTTCGGGAAAAGACCGTCGAAAAAGACATATACGAGAGATCCTCTAGAAACTTCACCACTGATTAAACCCCCTACCGCACATAAGGCTGTTACTAGCCCTGTGCTCATCGTATATGCGACAAGTCTGTCAACCATCGAGTTTGTTCTCCTGAATTCTGACCGCAGCTTCTTCAACAGTACAATTATTGTTGTCGTAATAAATATATCTGTGACAGCAATCGTAATATTCATTGCCCGTTCGAAATTGATGAGTCCAGAAAGCCCAAAAAAGTTGGAGAGGCGGCGTGCTCTCGCAAAGTAGACTGTGACTGCTGTAAACTGGGCTATAACTGTGACGACAAGTCCAGCAGTCAGTAGCCGATTCTTATTGCTCACTTAGTAACAATGTTGTTAGATGTGAGTGTGCATAAGGAGCAGAGAAGTGCCGCGACCCACAATGCCAAGCTCGAACAACAAAAATGATCTGTACCATTGCGTCAATAACAGTGCAAATGATCGAGTCATCAACAAGAAGTCTGACCAGTCATAAAGAATCAGCTGTAATGATAGTGAATAGAGGTGAAGATGTTTACTGGGGGGGTGTAAGTTCTCCAGGGTCCTTTACAAAATACATGTACAATACATGCAGAAGAAAGGCCTGGTGAACTGTGTCAAGAATCCAAACCATGCTTATATAGGTCTTCAGCCACAGCCCATCGGGTTTCAAATAATTCTGAATGGATGCGACGTAAGTTAAACGTTATGATAATGACCTGACCTCGAAATAGTAATACAGTTGAAGGGATCCTATACCCCAGAAACTTGCAGCCGAATAAGTTATTAGCATTGGAATTTAGGATTGATAATGACGTACATTGAAGTGAAGCTAGAAAATACATATGCAGTTAACATACCCGTCCAAAGACGGTTTTTCAGTATGCATACATTCCAGACATGAACATAACGTGAACCTAACTCGTTGCATTAGTGACATCGATTGCTCATACAAGCAGATACTACATACTGAGGCATCCAAAGACTGAAGGAAATCCCTAGGAACTGGTGACATGTTGAACATACTGAAAAAAATTCCCTTTATAATGTTGGATTTTTGTTTTCTTCTTCAAACTGTAGTAGATAAGTAGGAAGAACAGAGTAAGGCATTACTCAAGACAGGCACTTTGTCAGACTAAATACACACTGTGACTAATGCTAATAATAATGTCTCCATGACTATCAATAGGAGTGTTGTACAGTAGAAATCAGCATGAGGCAAGATGGCAAGTACATCTTCACACATCATAAAAAAGTCTTAAGTATTGTACTTACTTGTAATCTCATATATTTTATATATTTTATAAAATTTGTCCAATTACATATAATCTTCCTGGGGGGTTAAGTAATGACAGTACAATGTTAGATAAGTAAGTAAGAATACTTTTAAAACTTAGCAATTTCCATTATAATTTTATAAATTGTCAAGTTATAAAAGTGATTATAACACTTTCTAAGATTACAAGACTAAGACATACTTATTTATTTGAGAAAGTAAATATCTGCTTATAATACTTATAAGTCATTACAAGTGTTTGAATTGCTTCCTTTTCCTTTGGATACAATTTTTTATCAAATAATTAATAAAATATAATTATATTTAATTATTTAGTACAAAATAATAAATGATACATTATTTCTACAGTCCTAACCCCTGCACCACCAGCAGCCTCTGCCTTGTTCTTTTGTGAGTAGAATTTGTGTCAGAAAAGGATGAACACATTCTCAGACTGTTTGATATAGTCTTTGTCACTATGTTTGGTTGTCACTTAGGGCCTGTAAGTC